TTGCTTACTTGTAGAAATAATGGTCAAATAAGGGGAGTAAATGCCACACTATTAACTCACATAAATATTTTTGACAAATGACCATGTGTTCTCCGCCTATATAAATCCATATGTGCATTACTTCAACACCAACCTGAACAACTAAGCCTAGATGTCCGATATGTGCATAGAAATATCTCCTTCTCAATGTGTGTCACCCAGCATGGTGATAGTGAGTAAGGAGCCTGTCCTTCGCAGGGATCATCTGGTGCTGAAGCGTCCTCGAGCAAGATATTGAATATCAATCAGCTCCGTGAGTGACCTCTGACCTCGTCGATGTGCTTAATTTTTCTGACAATGTCTATGTCTTTGTAGAATCTTTCCACAAAAAATTATTGATTAACTCTTTCCTGTTTTCTACCAGCTGTCTTGCTTTTTTTCCAAATCTGCTAGTCCCTTAAATCTGTCACATATTTTAATCTTATGAATCTGGTTTTCTGCAGCCACTCCACATCATTTCCTCTGGTCTTTCCTACACCCTGTTGATTTGCTGCCGTCATCCTATGAGCCCATGAAATGTGACCAAGCATGTCATCTTATATTTTGTCTTATCTGCCATCTCTCTGCCTCTCACCCTCATCCATTTCTTTTGAAGTTTCCCTCCCTCCCTTTCCCTCCCTCCCTCCCTTCTACCCCGCCGTCTCATGTGTGTCTGCCTCCTCTCAGTAGCGAGCACAAGTCAGAAAAAGGATTATTTCTCTTTAGTCATCTTCGGAGGAGCATCAAAGAGGCACCGGCAAGCGGGATAAGAATAGAAAAAATTGATACTATTTATAACTTGTTTCAAAGAATGCCTACCGGCCGAAACAATAGTACTGCATCAGCAACGCTTACACCTCTGCACCTCTGTGTACGCACACACACACACACACACACACACACACACACACACACACACACACACACACAAACACACACACACACACACACACACACACACACACACACACACACACACACACACACACACACACACACACCTCCTTGACCGAGGAAAAGGCAGATGCAGTGAAAAACAATACGAGCCCCATGTGCTTCTTTAAATAGACTCTGATGTATTGATAAGGTGACTTCTACAAGAATAGAAACAGAGCAATCAGCAGGATATATTTCAAGTTCAACTCATTCCAAGCTATTCCAGAGCCATGCAGTTATTTCTTGCTTAAGTACGGCAAGTTATTGTCGGTGATTGCAGAACTTTGGCTCAGTCGCTTCTTTTAAATATTTCATGGAAGTGAGCCATGGCTACCTCAACCTCCAAACACACACATATATATATGGACACACATACACACACTCGTAGCGCATCGATGACAGCTGACTGATGTCGGCCTCATGAAGAACAGTGATCTCCCTTAATTATACATGATGTGTCACAGAGAAGGAGGAGGGAGGTAGGAAAGAGATAGAGAGGAGGGAGGGAGGAGATATAGATGAGAGTTGTAAAAATAGAAAAAGGTGAAAAGAGTAAATACAAAGCGGAAAGTGGAGCAGAGAATAAGTGGGGTGAAATACCGGGTGTAGAGGAAGGGAGGGACGAGAGGAGAAAGAGGAGAAGGAGAGTGAATGATGAAGAGGAGAGGAGCTGAAGGCAGAGGAGGTCACTGTGTATTGATCTAAACGTGTCTCCCCTGCAGCAGGTCTGACTTAACATTACCACTGAACATGAGAGCAGCAGGCTGGACACATTCAACCTGCTGGGCTGTAGACACACACACACACACACACACACACACACACACACACACACACACACACACACACCCTCTCCTACCTGCCTTCAATTCTGCTGTCTTAGAGTTGCAGTAAACAACTTAAAAATAATTATATTCCACACTTGGCTGTCACAGAGTCCCAAGACCCAGAACTGGAAATATTTTTAGAACAGTGTATGCATACACTTTTTTTATTTACTGATAGAGAAATTACAACCAGCTACAAAAACAATAATGAATTTTCTACTGCCTTTAAAATAATCACACTTATTGTGTTTTTTCCAGATCTTTCAAAGTCTTAATTTCATCAGTATATCCATGTGGTACCAATCATTGTGCCCTATCAGGTCTGACTCCTTGAAGGAAAGTTCAAAGAAGTTAGGGCAACAAAGATAAGGTAAATAAAACTACTTGTGATGCATTAGTTCAAAGCACACTTTAAAAACCCTTTTATCCCATTATTTTGTATGATGGCTCTGGCGCTGTCTTTGGCATCTCGTCCTGACCTACATATTCAGCACAATGCAGAGAAGCAGAAAAGACAAAATAAGAGATAACGCTGACAGAAAATTAGAGATGGAAGTCAGTGTAGAGTGGAAAGAGGAGAAGTGCTGTTGTTGAGCAGCAGAAGTGTGGCATGAGGAGCACAGGATGTCATGAAATATGTAGGAAGGAGCCGCTCAGCGCCGGAACACAAAGCCATTAAAGAAAGCCTGGAAAATGCAGTCAGCTAGAAATATAAATGTTCATTTCCTTATCGTGCAGTGACATACAGACACACAGCTAAAAGCACATACACACTTGCACAATCTTGGACTCTTAGTGAAAAGCCACACTCTAATGTTCTCAGAAATGGACACAGAGTTTAACACACTTTAGTGCTCTTAAAGACACGAGCGTGCAGGTTTACATGCATGAGAGAACGTCACAACACAAAGAACCACAAGCTCTCTACGCCTGCTTCCCTCTCAGTGCACATGGTGTTCTGTAAATCATTGATTGGGTACATGTAGGAGATCAGTGAGACAGTTAGTTTGACATGCAGCGAGTGTTTTCTGTGTTTCAGGGTCGGACAACAGGGCCGAAGCAGCTGGAAACTTCTTCTGAAGGCAGCTTCACTCACTGCGCTCTCAACTCTGTAAACTCACTGGATGTCAACAAGCTGGTGCTACTTTTGAGGAATTGGTGCAATGCTGGAGGTAGTAGAACAGCAGCTGTAATATAACAGATATAGCTGTTTAGCTTTGTACATGTTTGTATGGACTGTCCTTCATTAAAAACCTGTATTCTCGATAAATATGCATCATAATTCGGCAGATTCACAGCATTTTACTTGGGCTCTCTGGCAGCAGCCTAAGCCTGTGGGGGAGCTGAGACCACTAGGACCTAATTTGTTAGTTAAACTTTATTTAACTTTGGCAGCCGAAATTGTTTTCAATATTAGATGAAGGAGAAAGGAGAAATGCAAGTTTTTGGCCGAACTTCAGTTTTATCGTGGTTGTTTGTGCATCAGTTCTTTGTTAGTTTAGGTTAATCTATAAATCTTCATGTTTGGTCAGAAAGACTGATTGACAGTCATTGCTACTTGATACCAGCAAGGTAGGAAAATTATCTGAAATCAAGCCACATTTTGATTCAAAAATCTGATTCTTCCAACAGTTCAGAGCTCCAGTACTTGGAAGGTAACAACCAAAATGTTACCTTAAACTGATAAAGGAGGAAAGAAAACACCACACCTCTTCGGCTCAAATTCTGATCCTGCTGACTGTAAACTTTTAACAGATGGCAAATCATGACATTGTAAAGTAAATAGACACACCTTCATTCTTCTGCTCAATATATATCTTCATTAATTTTCTACAGTAAGTGTACATGCAAACATTTCACAAAGGCCTCATTTAACCCTTGTGTTGTGTTCGAAAGCTGTTACCGCTCATGGTGTTCGCGGGTCAATTTTGACCCATGATTTATTTCAGTCCAAAACACCCACAAAAAAATACTATCATCCAATATTGTTTTAACTACATCATAACTAACTTATTATGCATTCATAGCCGTAAAATCCTGTTGTAATTGTATTGTATGGCCCCAAAACACATTACACCACATATTGTGCATGTGTGTGTTCAGGTTCAAGTGTTAGTGTACATATTCTTTGAGAAAGGTCGAGTTCCCATGGGGGGAGGGGGGCCAGAGGGATGGGAGACCAGGTGCATGTTGCGAAAACATATTGTTACAGTGGATAAAGGGGGTGGGGCTGGGGTGTCTAAAGTCAAAGATTAATCTTGATTGGGCCAAATTTGACCCGAGTCAACAATTCTGCTGGGTCTTCCCAGACCGAAACACCAAATTATACACTTTTTTTAGAGACCCTCAGACTTGGCTAAAATGTTCAGTTTTGTAGTGTTTATATAGCTGTTGTGGAGGATATCATGAAGCCTTGTTCCGATAAAAAAAACTAGAGCGTAGTTATTATATGATTTTAACTTGAAACGGGTCACGGGAGACTCAAACACAACATTGGGTTAATGGGTCGATAACTGAGACGGATTATGAACAGAATTATTTTTTGGGTCTTGAGATTACTCTGTATTAAATGGACTGTGCAACCTCTCATTTCAAAATAAATGATAGATTCTAAATTGTTTATAAATCCTTGGCTTTAGTTTGACAACGCAGCTTCTCATCAGCTGAGTGCTATACAGGTGACAGGGCCATTGATGATGGTTGGGTGGAAACAACATGAGCCTATAGGCAGACAATAGACATAAAAGCAGATCAGTAAGCACAACTGTCTCTGCACACACTTTCTATGTGCGTGCTGAGGATTCAATCAATAACAACAGCCCTGCATGCCCTCATCACTATCATCACCACACCACACCCAACAGCTCCATCATTTCCTCTGCTATGAATTAAACTTAGTCTTAACTTCACTCAATGCGGCTAACATGTTGCTTGGGCCCAACACATCACTATAGGGTAGGGCTTTTTTCCTCTTTGCTCCATATCTCATATGTGCAGTAGGCTATGGAGCAAAAAGCATGCATCCTTTTCAGTGCATGACAGCAGCATGGGAAGTAGAAATGGTAATGGTAGTGTACAAATGCAATACAATAAGAGGGATAATGAACAATATAGGGTTGTTAAATCGATAGTACTTTAATTCACCCGTATATGTTATCTGCTGCGTCCACGTGATATTTGCAATAACCACAGAGAACAATACATGAGCGTTTGGTCTACCTGGATGCTGCAGGAGATCTCGGAGTCGTCCAGGAGCCGGATCGTGCAGAGGACCTCCTGGTCCAAGGAGCGGATGCTTGGGCTGCGAAACCGGAGCATTTTCATCCTTCTGTCGGGTCTGTTTCAGCTCCTCATGTCAGCGGTTCCACAGACAGAACAGATACGCACACGCGGGGTAGGGGGTACTCGTGCATACACACACTCATACATGCATGCGCCTTGCAGTCAGGTCTTGTCCCCCCTTGTGACGCCCTTGGGAATGAATGAGATGGTAGAGATGGTTGGATGGGTTAGAGAATGGATGTTACAGAGCGGGAGAGAGGAGGGCTTGTATCCTGTCTGCACACTGCTGGATCTACAGGAGGGAGGATAGCTTTCCCCCTTCCTTCTCCTCGCTCTCTTCCTCCCCTTCTCTCTCTCTGACATGCTCAACCTCACCTTTTCTCTCTTTCTAATTTTCATCAAAAAACAACACAGTCACGACCCACGCGTATCATAATAAGTAACTGCCAGGTGCCTGGTAAAAGTATACCTGCCCTGTGCAATTTTGTATTCACTTGGACTTGATGTAATAGTTCACCCACGTTTTAAGGGTGATTTAAACAAGCATGGGGTGATTTTACATAAGGGCCTAACGGTAAAATATGTATGCTGTAATAATTGCACTGCCCTTAACGGGTGCCTCATCATATCTACAGTGGTACAGACTTAATGCCTACATTACCTGTGATATTTTGAGAAATACATATTATCCCATTAAATTATATAATAAGCTGATTTAACCTGTGATCAAAATCACAAACAGCTGTGGTCAAAATTGTATCTGTGAAATTACATGTTATATTCATCTAATAATGATTTCAAAGACATTTTAGCTGCTACGTAATCTGCTCCTTTAAATGCAAACGTTGCCAGCGTGCGTGCTACGTCATCACGTACTTCAGCAAAACAAGCCTGCAGCCGTAGTGGAGGCTTGGAGGATATTTGATCACCTCTTTTACATAAGAATACTGATTAAGCAGACACACCACAAGGAACCTGTGAGGTTTTTTGCTTCAAATGTTTGCTTTTAAGTGAGTTTCCTTCGCTAAACCACAGTAAGCTATTGTTGTTTTAAGAAGTTTACTTATCAAAGCCAGTGAAATATGCTTAGTGGTGGACTACACCTTTGCATGGGTCCTAACATCTACGGAAGCCACGAAAGTTGTTTATTACAGTAGGTTAAATCACGTGAGCACATATTTTATAGACACACGGTTCAATGGTTTAAACATTTAACGGAAGATGTGTAGACCATGCAGAGCTGCAAGTCTTCGGCAGCAGTTCTTAAGGGATTTTTCTGCCTTTAGGTGTCTTAAGGTCTACAGACAGGATGATCTACATCATAATGGGAGTCTCAGGCTGCGGGAAGTATGTATACTGTCTGTTTCTTTTTTCTAGGAGAGCATCTCACATAAGAAGCACATTAAATACAGTTAACTAACATATGACATGTATTGAGTTAAATGTGGGTTAAATATGTTTAAATTCTTTAGAATACTATATAGCATATCAGATTCCACTTAGTGATAACTTGTTGGTGGTTTATCAACTATTAATGTCCCATTACATGATTAACTACAGTACACAGTCAGACATATGTTTCAAGGATGCTGAAGAAAATAGTAAGCTGACTCCATCACAGTAATGTAAGGGGTGCAATCTAACACCAAAATACAATAGTGGAGCTAGTACTCCAAGTACTAATTATTTAATTGTCCAATTTCTTTCGCCATTGATTAATTAATTATTTTGTCTGTATTATATCAGCAAATAGTAACAGATTATCATCACAGTCTCCTAGACACCCAAAGCAATGGCTTCTAACTGCCTGCAAAAAAACGAAAACCTCTAATTGGCCTACTCTAATATAAGGCTTTTTTGCATTGTATCAACTATTTATTTTATGTCGCCTTTTTTTTACAGAAGTGCCTTAGGGGCCTTCCTATCGGAAAAGGTAATTAGATCCATCTGTTATCCTACACACACCTTTGTGTTTCTGCAAACACTATGACATAATAACAGTGCATTCATGTATGTGTATCTACCAATCAGCTGGGCTGGCCTCTGCATGAAGGGGATAGCTTCCATCCACAGGGGAACATTGAGAAGATGGCTCGAAGTGAACCACTTACAGACCAGGTGTGTGTGTGTGTGTGTGTGTGTGTGTGTGTGTGTGTGTGTGTGTGTGTGTGTGTGTGTGTGTGTGTGTGTGTGTGTGTGTGTGTGTGTGTGTGTGTGTGTGTGTGTGTGTGTGTGTGTGTGTCCTTTTTTTCCTGTTTATGGTGACTCTCAAAATAAAGGTAGACCTCTAAACAATTGCCTGGCTACCTGCCAAAGTTGAGTTTACGAGCTAACAGGCATCACGAGCCCTGCAAATATTTGACAGCAGTTTGCTGGTAGCAGTGTGTTTGGTGGCTCATGATAACCTCCCACTCAGACATTTGCTTTGAACTCTGGGAAGGATTGCCCCTGGATCTGTTCTGTCCAGTTCTTTGGCATGTTTTTAAAAAGTACTCAAAACTTGGCAGTTTGAGAATAAATACAAATTTGAGATTACTGCCTGGCTGTAGCTAAAATGTGTCTTTCATGCCAGGATAAGAGTTGGCAGGTTGAGGTTTGGCCTAACCAAACAGGACATTTCCTGTCACCCGAGTTCAACTCTTCATATTAAAGGCACGGCAGTGTATGATATAAAAATTTGACTCTGGATCAGTTGTTATCAAATTAGCACTGATTCTATTTCTGATTTCTGTTTGATCAAATATGTGTTTGTGTTGCCATGCCTGTCTGCCCCATTAGTTATTTTATTTCGTAAGACTCAAGTCTATTAAACAGAAAATATTGGCAGTGAGTTCTGACTTTGAATAATAAGATCCAATATAAACATCACTGACTGCAACTGTGATCACACTTCGATTGAAAAATAAATGTTTTTCATATGCGAGTGTTGTCTTTCTATAGGAGCCATGTCTGTACTTAGTTCAAAACTATTTTGGTGAATTTATGAACCCATCTTCACTGATGACAGGCTTTACCATTACATACTCTGGTCACACTGTGTCTGTGTTGCTTCGTGATACATGGCTTCCCTATCTAAAGGGCAATGATTTACCTGCTCAGTAGCGTTAAAGGGTGAAGCCTGTATCATGTTCATTCAGTGTTTTATTTTCCTCTCGGGGACCTGAACACCTGGGAATCCCTGAATTAAAGTAATGAATACGATATATTTATTTCCTTCCTATAAGCAGCTTTACAATGTAAATGTATCAAATGACAATATTCACGAGAATAATCCCAGGTCCGAAGTTTTTTTAGCAAAATAAAAAGCTACATAAACCCACTGCTACACTACCTTCTCAGCACACAGAAAAACAATTATCATTAACATGTTGATGCATTGAGCAATGAAAGAGTCAGATATTTCTATGTGTGAATACTGGACTTACATTTGTATGGTGGCCAAAAACATGAATCCAAATGCATGTTGTTCCGCAATGGCTTGATGGGTAAAAAAATATTGATCAAAAAGATTAAAAACATTGCTTAAAAAATATTTGTCCCTTCAGGATAGATTACCCTGGCTACTCAAACTACATGAAGTCATTGAGAGGTAAGAACAAACAAACCTTCCATACTCACAGACCATTTGCACATGGACACATTTTTCACTGAAAACACAAAACATACTTTTTTATGACATAAATGGGTTTAAAGAGTGAGAGTGATCTAAACAGAAGAGTAGCGAGGTAAGGATGTGCAGGCTAACTATCAAAGATGGTTTTGAAAATCGAAGTGAAGACCAGAACATGGGGAGAGTCAGTTTGGAAGAGTAAAAAACAGATGAACTGAGTGTGAGGCAAGAGAAGAGGTGGGGAGGGCTTGAAAGTATGCCATCTCTCTCTTAAGACCTCATCAAAGGCTTCCCTGCACTTCCACACATTTATCAGCTTATCCTTGTGTCGCCACTTTTCTCTCTTCACCTCCATTTTCCCGTTAGTTGTTTTTGACCAAGGTTCACTTTTAGTTCATTTTCCACATTGACCAAACATCATTACAGTGTACAAGTCAGCAGTTGTTCCTAATTCCTTCCTTCACAATATGCATTTGTGTCTCAGAGAGAGGAGCTACGGCTCTGATGCCCTGGTGGCGTGCTCTGCCCTGAAGCGTCTGTACAGACAGATCCTGCTCCACGGCTCCAAAGCCTTCCCTTCCTCCGGTCCAGACCAAGATGGCCTGCCTGCCTCCTCTCCTGATGTCTGTTTTCTCTTTCTTTATGGAGACTACGATCTCATTCAGCAGAGGATGGTGGTCCGGAGGGGACATTACATGAAAGCAGATCTGCTGCGTTCACAGTTTGATGTTTTAGAGCCACCGTTGGATAAAGAGAACGTGTTGTCACTGGACATCAGGACGAGCATCACAGACATGGCCATGGAGGTGGAGAAGCACATAGTCAGCCTCAAGTCGTCACCAAGGCCTTAAACACAGACCATATCTAGGTCATACCGAGTGAAGTGGGGGGCGAGTTTTGGTTTTCATCTACTCATTACTGCTTCAGTACAGAATGATCCTGTGGTGCTAAAAACGTTTTAAAACACAGCCACAGTGCCATTCCAGTATATTCCTGCTTTATTTTGATATTAAAGGGTTTGAATCTGACCATTTTTTGGGGTGAAAAATGATCTTCCAATAGTGTGCCAAAAAAGAAAAAGGCCAGTCGTGGATATGAACTACAGTATTTTGAACTCAAGAGCAGAACTGTGAAAGTATTGTAAATATTTGCACTGTAAAGACACACTGCTTCAGCCATTTTGTTGTGAAAAATGGAGAGACTACTTGACTTCAATAAAACATGTAACATGCTTTTCTGGAGTTTGGAACTTGGCATTAGTTGCAGGCGATTGCAGATCATGTTTTTATTTGATTTCATCCGTCACACCACCTTTCATGCACTGACATCGCCTGCCAAATGCACCAAATAATCTTAAAGTACAATCTTGACACCAAATTCGACAAAGTACAACAGTAAAATGGATTCAGAGTTAAACATGAACTGCTACTCACTGTCCTCTGACCACAGGTTGAAACCACACTAAAGGTCAGATCAGGTCAAGGCTTCACGATCCCCGTTTCCTGATCCATAAAATCATCTTCAAGGACACTCATACACACACATGACCCCTCACACACTCCCCCCAACACACACATCAACTCAGCACTTGGGCTGTTTTTGTGGAGTGACTCATCTGCAAACCTCAACTCGAATATTTTAGGAGCTTCTAATCCAGAAAACCCCTTTGGCTACTCTCATATCTCACACATGCAGACGAAAGGGTGCACACACACACACACACACACACACACACACACACACACACACACACACACACACACACACACACACACATCACAGGAGATTAAAACCCCCCTCAGTCTGGCAGCAACAGACAAACACACATAGGTTGTCAAGTGGATCACATACACACATATCTGATGTCAGAGTACGTGTTGTGTATTATGGCGCGTTTCCACTGCAGCGGGTAGCCCCGTTTAAGCGTCCTTAACCGTCCTCAAGCGGCCAGGCCGGTTTTTGGTGGCGTTTCCATATAGCCTAGTACCGGCCAGCGGGTACTTTTTCCCTCTTTTTCCGGCCTCATAAAATCGTGGTTCCCTCAGACCAAGGCCAGGGCTGAACTAGTGACGTCAACACTCTCGACTGCTGATTGGTCAGAGAGAATCGTCACAAGATTGCGCGCGAGTTCATCCCTAGCGTCGCATATATATCTAGAAGCAAGCTTGCAGCATTTTTATAAACAGTATTTTGTAAACGGATGAGCTACAAAAATGGCTACGTCTAATAAGAAAAGCACACGTGGTCGACCGAGGAGGTGACGACGTTCCTACATCTCATTGGGGATGATCAAATCCAGCGGGAGCTCGACGGAACAACTCGAAATGTGAACAAAAACAAAGCCGATCGCCCCGCCTACACTGCGTTGCTACCCCAGGTCCTAAACTGTAATGGAAATGCGCCACGGCCTGGGCCGGCCAGTGAGGCAGCCCGAGGCCAGAGCGAGGACGCTTAGGGACGCTTAAACGGGGCTACCCCGCTGCAGTGGAAACGCGCCATTAGTCCACCCCGTGTCAGAGTAAGGACACAAAAGCAGGGATGAAAACAGAGCAACACACATCCTATTACGCACTAAAAATCGTTTTTTCTTCATTTGTTATTAGTTTATATCAATATATTTGCAAAAACATAGTTTGAGGTGAACATGGAGACACATATTTCAGTCTCATAATTTACACTTAATCTAAATACATTTGTTAGATATGAAATATTTGTGCACAATACCAGCTGGTCAAATGAAAACAGTTGATATTATTGAGGAGGTTAAGTGTAACTGCTCCCCTCTAGTGTTTGTAGTATAAAAGTATACAGTAGATTTTAGATGTGTAGAGATTAGCATGGCCATGGGGTTTCATGGTGGGATTATCTCTCAAATTTAGCGAAGGTGGATTATATGTATAAAAGGATTTATTAGATAACTGTTCTTATCAATAAAAAGATGGGAAACCAGTTTGTGTTTTGAGTCGTGTTTTTATTCATCGCTACACCAAGGCAGGGTACAACATGTGTTTTCAGTTAAATGTGCACATTTGGCTGCTTTTCTCCATTTCATACGATTGCAAATGGAATGATGGGAGTCTTCTTTAAGGCGTAACCTCAGTCTCTGGGAAGTTCAGATCAATACTTTTCCCTGTTTTCATATTATAGACTTAATGACTAATACAACCATCTTAGAAGAAAAACAAATCCACATATTCATTCTTACTAAAAGTGAATGATCGAAACAAACAACTGGTAAATTAAATGAAGTGCTAATCCCTTTTCAAATCGATTATTTAAAAAAAAAAAGGGTTAAATAAACCCATTGTAATAGGTACATTACTTTGAGAAGGACTGTAATGCTAGGACTGAATATAATGCAGACAGAGGTTAGTTATGGAAGTTAAGGAATGCATATAAGTGTGTCTTAAAAGTGTGGAAATACAAATGTGTCTTGCATGTTTTTGTAAAGCACTTTGTAATCGTTGATAGAGATATTTTGTTTTGAGTGTAGGTGCTTACAGTACATTATAGTGTGAGTGTGTGTGTGTGTGTGTGTGTGTGTGTGTGTGTGTGTGTGTGTGTGTGTGTGTGTGTGTGTGTGTGTGTGTGTGTGTGTGTGTGTGTGTGTGTGTGTGTGTGTGTGTGTCAGAGACTGAGGAGTTGTTGTATTGCAGTGCAAAGGTCTCCTCCGGTGCTGATGAGGATCTGCAGATTTGCCTCTCTGTCTCCGAAGCCCATTGAACTCAGATGCTCCAGCTCGTCCTGGAACTCAGCGTCCTCAACGTGGACCTGAGAGGACACGGCATTTTAAACAAAGTTTAATGTGCGTGTCTGTTGAATTGTTTACTCTTTAAAAATAAGTACTACAAACAGCAGCTCCTGGCCTCAGGCTTGAACAACAACAATGCAACCTCTTTATGAATTGTTAGAACAAGCACTGTACAACAAATTCAAGCTCATAGCACTTTTGCAATTAAAAAAAAAAAAAATTAAGTTATTGAGCTTTTAAAGTGTGTTTGCCAGTATCTGTGTACTTTATAAAGCTGCTAATTGATTAAGCTCCACAAACCCTTACAACCCATGTTCCAACAGCTTTTGGTAAAAAAAAAAGACAAACAAATGCATCAACAAGGGGGGACAGTTACATAAAACTTTGCTCAAACTGCTTTTTCCAATAATAGTGAAGAATTACAGAAGAATGCATTCCCTTAAAATAAAAACTGTTAGCTTTTTATTAAAGGGATAGTGGAAATGGAACCTCAAATAGTTTCGTTTTAACTTATATACAAGCATAATTACGTACCAAAACAATCACACCTGATTAAAAAAATATAATAAATGCCTTCCGCATGTTAGAAGCACTTTATTGCAGCTTCCCCGAAGTTTTTTAGAAACGAAATGTTCGACTCAGCCAAACCGGAAGTGACGAAAACTCAGGAAGACGATACGATAACAAACCATGGCGTCTATGCAGAATGAACGTGGAAGGGCAAATATACCAGACAAAGAAGAAGGATTGTACGAGGTATCCAGTGATGATAGCGAGTCAGAAACATCCTCTCGGCTTTCCTACGAAAATGTCGTTTTAGGAACTGAATCTGAATCCGGTTCAGTAAGCGACGATGGTGAGAATATTGAGCCAGACGATGGACCATTACGTCCTTATTTGTTCGAGCCCGAGCCCGAGGTGATGGTTCACGGCATGGGCAATGGCGAGGATGACCAGGACCAGGCGCCAGATGATGCACCCCTACGCACAAATAATCTTGACTGGTAGGTCCCTAAGCATAGCTCACGCATCTTAAGATCACCTGTAGCCTTTACAAATATTAATCATTGTTAACCAGTTAAGCCCGAAGGTCCCCCCAGTGGACCCCTCCCACAGTTTTTTTTCTCTCACATGTCTCAGGGCTTCTTAACATTTATGAAACTATTAATGTTTCATACCCTTTTAAAGGTAAGAAACTCCGCTAACTGACAATAAGAACAATTGTTAGCTAGAAAAAACACAAGAGTAATACCAAGCCTTTGAATTAGCATTGAGCGAAACAATGCTAACTAATGCTAACGCTTTTTTACACACAACACACGGTAGAAATGCCCTTATTACTATCTTAACTGCACAAACAAGATATACGATTTAAAGCTGAGACTCCACAGATTCCACACATGTAATCATCACTGTAAGACCTCGAATTCCTGGAGCTATCAGCCAGAAAAGAGAAAGTAAACAACATCCGGTTCCAAAAATATTACAATAATTACGTCTTACCTTTTTTGATTTGTGATCAAAAGTTGTGTTCAACGGAATAAAAACGCATCTCAAGGTTAATCCAATGTCGTTGTGTCACGTAGAATTTTTCTGTCGCACTACAGCCATACAAAACACATCTATTAACCATAATAAAGGTCGGTTATTCACATGCAAATGCTATTGAATGTCCGCCATTGTTTGTGCCCGTCTTCCTATGCTCTCGTCATCACCCGAAGATTCCCGACGATTCCCGAAGTATTTCGTTTCATTGAGAGGGCGCAGTAAAATTGAAAATAAAATGAAATTAGGCACATGAAATAAAAAAAAATGGTTTATTATGCTTATTTTTAATAAAAATACATAAGTTAAACCCAAAATTCGCGGATTTCCACTATCCCTTTAACTATTCAAACAGATTACATATTTTGGTTTGCTTGTTAAATCAATCCGAGCAATCGATGATAAATCCAAATTGTTTATTCTATAGGCAAAAAATGTGGCGCCACAAACTGAAGCCCAAGTGTTATGGGAGCTTTGGGTTGAAGGGTATTCACCTTTAACAACACTGGAAATGTTTTCCCCATTGACTTTCACAGCTAACTTGATCATAATAACCCAGCCTCTTGTCTTGAGTGTTTGCGTAAGTACTTTTGTTAACGATAAAGGTGTAAGGACAGATACCCCATTATCGGTGTTAGCCAGCGCCTGTAGCATCTGTTGCACAAACTGCTGCTGCTGCTGCTCTGTCACCGCGGCAACCCGAGGACCACTTTCAGATTGGCTGTTGAGGACAGAGTCAGGTGCTAGCTCAGGTGGAGCATCAAGACCGGCTCTGCAAGACAGACATGTGGTGGTAAACATTTTTTTACAATTCCTTGAATGTGCCATGCATAAAAGTAATTATTTTTTACGCAGTATCTTAATCATTTTGTGAATCATCTTGAGATTAAGTTTCATTGTGTGTATTTCATATTTAAACTCACGTAGGTATCAGAGCAGGAACCTCTGTAGCCAGAGTCTGTAGGCCCTGCTGGATGTGGAGCAGGGCCTCCATGGCTCTGGGGTTCAACATGGCTGACAGCAGTTCTGGACTCTGCATCTACAAATTGAGCACTGATCATTAAAGCTGGAGTGCAGAACATTTGCCTCCCCCCTCTGGCAGAGAGAGTAATAACCGCATGGGAGAGAGCAAAGGGAAGGAGGAGCAGCAGCTGGCATTGTGGCAGAAGCTACCTTTTTAGTAGGGATACTCCAGATAAAAAAATAAACTTGCAGTTCAGAGCACTGATTAATGTAAAATATCATGGGGCACTGACCCAATAAAAAGAAGTGTGTTTATTTTGTCCAATGTAATTATAATAGCGTGTATGGACTTGGAGTCATACACGATATATACAGTGATATGATATGGAAACTAATAGCATTTACATTTGACCATTTCCATAAAAAGATAACACTGGATCCAGAGTGAATGTCAGACGAATATCAAAACTACAACAAACTTCCGGGTGTTCCATCAAGTCCATTAAAGACACAGACTGCTAGTGTGGCTAAAAAATACACAAGCCAATTATTACAAAACAAACATCTGTTTTGTGTTTATCTGTTTAGGAAATAAAAACAGTTGATCACACACAATACATATTTCCCAATGTTGAGCAATCCTTTTTGTTTTAAACTAGTTGCAAGACTTGAGTGTTTAAAAGTGAGGAGAGTAACCTGTTGCAGGAAGAGAGGGATCTGCTGTCTCATCTGCTGCTGCAGCTGAGGATTTCCTGAGAACAAAGGGTGGCTCAGCAGCATCTGAAACAGAATGGAAATGAGAGCTTTAAAGAAGGTGTAGGATTTATGTGGAGAGATTATGGGGATATAACAAGAAATGGGGAGGGGAGGATTCTATCTGTCCCCCCAGTTCTGAATTGCAGACCATGTGATTTACTGTTTTGCAATTTATATGCTCATAAATAACAAAAAGGATTCTATGCAGTTGTCAAGTACAAATAGGCATCTTTTGTTAACTGCGTTCCCTGTGATATATGTTTATGTGTTTTCATCAGTGATGTAACGTAACTAAGTAGATTTACTCAAGTACTGTACTGATATAACATTTTGTGAGACTTTTACTTTACTTTATGTTTTGCTAATTTGTACTTTTACTCCACTACAATCCAGAGTTTAATCATGTACTTTTACTCCACTCCATAATTTTAGTACCTTTAGCTTCTTTGCTAATTAAGTTTAATGATGTGAAATATAAACAACACTTAAGTAATATTTTAGTTACACCTGGAGTAAAATTCACAAACTAACCTGCAGCATACAAAGTGATTAAAACTAGCTGCACCTTTACCAGCTTTAATAACACTTTAATGCATCAATATTTATAATAAAAACATATCATTGATGGTATTCTGAAATGGGCCAATTTGCATAATGAGTACTTACAGTTTTGGTACTTTAAGTTTATTTTGATGCTTATACTTTTGTACTTTTACTTGAGTAACATTTTGAATGCAGGACTTTTACTTGTCACAGAGTATTCCTACTCTCTGGTAGTTACAATCTGAGTACTTTTGTGACCTCTGGTTTTCATCCACCCATACATGGTGTAGCATCACCTGTGCAGCGAGGTCTGGGTTCTGGCCGAGGCAGTGGAGGAGGCTGCTGACATACGGCCCAGACAGCAGGCTCTCCATCAGCCCGGGGCTGGCTGTGATCTCCTGTAGCAGAGACTGCATGCCTGAGGGGAGAGCAGGAGGACATATTTTAGGGCTCACCATTTAAAAATGTTTTGAATATTTTTACTGAAAAACCTATTACAAATATAATGTTGGCCAATCTGTACCAAACCAATATGTTTTCTTAACTCTGTAGAACAATATATGTAGGCTAAGAACTTTTGGCCTTTCAAATAATCTTGCGCCTCCTGCGATTTGAAAATGCCATATTGCAAACGTGCAAAGTATACATGAATAATTATAGTTAGCACACCAAATAATACCGTGGTAATGTTGGCCTGTTTCGTGTTTTGTTTCGGCGGAAATGGCAGTGAGTAACAACAACTTTAAAATAACTTGAAATACAACAAGGGACAGAAAGCTGAGAAAATAAAAAAAGTACATGTTTGCCAGATGATATTCTACTTTTTACGTCAGTTTAGTTGAACTGTGATAGATGTGTATGTCTGTGCCTGCAGTGAGGGGGCTCTGAGGGTTCGGATCAGCTCTCAGTTCTCCGAGAGGATCTGAACAGTCACTGGAGACGGGTGGAGTCTTGTTTCTTTCTCCTTCATTTGGCTGTTTTTCCCCAGATGATGTTGTCCCCACTCGGGATGCTGCTATCTGGATCTGAGAAGAGTGCATTTAAGTATACGTTTATTTGGACAATATAAATATATAACAACAATAACATAACAAATAATGTAAAGGGCAGAAAACACATTTGGTTTATTTGAAGCTTCCATTTAAATAAGGAGTTCTCTTTAACAATGTGACATTTTAAATAGACGAGTGTACTGAAAACTATATGACTAGTCATTGACTATAGAAGAGACATCACAAAAAGATTTGTTTTGTCATTATCTAAACAGATAGTTAAAAAGAAACATAATTTCCAAACCTTTACCTGTGATAATCTTTTTGTGTCAGTCTTCTGATTGCCACCAGAATCCCTATTGGTGTTTTCAGGGTTTTCCTGCTTTGGCTGCAAATTTCCTAATGCTTTGTCTTCATCATGCATCACATCCTCGATCATGTCAGGGTTCCTGATGAGCTCCAGCACCTGGAAAGGGAGGCAAGAGATAGAACATCTTGACCATGTAGGTGGAAGAAATGAGTTGCAGTTCTAGGAAATAATACCCTTTTTCGCATGTTAACTAAATCAAATCACACAACTCACTCATAATCCTAAAGGATATTTAAAGAGACAGGTCACATTTATATATATATATTTTATTTTTTTATTGAGTCAGGCACAATGAGTTTAGATTTATACAGTCAATATATATATATATATTTTTTTTTCCCTTTCCCCCCCTCCCGGTCCTAGCTAGTAAATTAAATAACTAACTACATAAAATAGATACATGTAGGTAAAAGTAAAGTAATGTAGAAGATAATATTAAAAGAAAATGTTTAACACATTTATATTTTGAGTTATGTATTTACACCATGTAGCCTTTGATGTTTTAATACCCACCTGTGTGATAACATCTGCATTGTTAAGCATATCTCCAACCTCTGGGTTTGTCTGCACGAGCTGGTGAATTTGGGGATTTGACAGAATTAGCTGTCTGGTTAGTTGAGGGCTGGAGGTGGAGAGGGTGGTCTGTACGAAGGGGCTGCCCAGGACACGGTGCAGCATCTCCGGGTCCATCTGGCGCTGGAGTGAAGAAAAGAAGCCAGGCCCGCTGTTTGTTTGGCCAAAATTGTCAAGACCTTCCACTATGGAAACAAGATCAGGTGCATGTAAATGAACTGGACAGCAGAGCAGGACTGGACCCCCCTCCCCAAGCAGCAATATAACCATTGATGAAGAGAACATTCAAAACAAAGCATAATAGGGTGGTTGTGCTGTCATTACCCAGACAAAGGGGCGAGGTGGGAGACGGCGTGATACTGTCAGGGTCCGGATGAAGAGCGGCTGTGAGCCCCGACTGGACACTTTCTGAAGTTGGATCACAGGTGTGTGCAGCAGACGAAAGCTGAGGCCTGAGAAAGAAGGACTGAATTTGAATCTACACTATATTTTGAGTCTATATACATATACATAGCTTTCCCAGTATATAGAACAGAAGCTGATCTTTAAAGTATGGCATCCATTTTTTATTTATTTTTTGTGTGGCTATATATGTCAGTTCACGCTTACAAGCATGCCAGTCTTCTCTTAAGGAACTAGGACACTGACTTGATTTCTAACTTGTTTTTCACAATGCATCAAGGTGCAATTCTATATTTAGATGTGCTTACTTTTCTACCATAAAGTGACACGTACTGGCTTTCTTTTTTTTTTTTAAATCAGGTTCACTAACACTGACATTCCTAGTGCACAAGAGTGACATGTCATTTTTTTTTTTAGGGATAAACCTGTAACACTAACCATCCACCTTGACAGGCTGCCGAATTCTACACAAAGCTTATCATGGGCAAATACAGAATACAATACAGATAATTTGCATCCCAAGTGCGTTGGTATGTGTCTGTTGAGCAAACATCATATCAGCCTGTGTGTTTGAATACCTTTGGATCATGCAGAGGCTCACACACCCATCTCGTGCCCTAAGATGACTCAGGAGTTCTGACTCCCTGAGCACGCGACCAAAGTGGATGAGCACCAGCTGCTCTGCCGGGACCCCCACACCCTCTGCCAGAGACCATTTCAGCTGCACACAAATACAAACACACCCCACAACAGACTATCAGCCGAAGCGCATGTCAAGCCAGTTTACGCAGGTGCGTTTGGCCTCCTGACCTGTGTGACGGTGCAGTCTCCTCTCATGGTGCACTCTCTGCTCTCCGCTGGACCTTTGACGCTGACGTGGATCGTTTCAGCGATCTGACGATCATCCTGTGCTCTCGATTGATCTCTCTCCGAACCTGACATTTCAGTCCTGACCGCGCTGAGAGGAGGAAGAGGATCTGAACTGAGGAGGATGAGGAGCGGACCTGAGGAGGATGAGGAGCGGTCCTGAGGAGGAAGAGGATTGCACAGTCCCGGGTCGGAGGAGCGTGTGTCCCGATGACTCAGCAGAAAGTTGTGCCAGCTTTGACCCGACTGCGCAGGGTGGTGAAGATTAAAATCTACCCAAAGATACAAACCCTCCACCGTTTTTTAAATGTCAGTTCCTGTTATGTAGGTATTTACAAGGGCAGTCTGGTTAAATGATGTATGACTAATAGTTATGTAACCAGTGTCAACTTAAAGATATACACCACAAATCCAGTATTAATCATTCTTAAAATGAAGATTATATTAATATTTAAATGTCCATTCCCCATTGAAGACGACATCTTTTCACAGCACCCAGTGGTTTATCAGATTCCTCGTAAATTGTTGCACTATGGTACCACAAATACAAAATTACCATCTCCTCTGTGTTTCATTTTATAGTCTAATGTTGGGACAATATACAACAAAGACACATTTTGTCACTGAAAAGTATTTTATTTACGTTACAGTGAGAAAGAAAAAAAGAAACATACAATTCACGTCATTTTGGTATTAAAACCCCAACAAAATCAGAGCAGGCGCACAGCCTTGAACAACACTATTATGCTTGTGCCTGCAGAGGGCAGCACCGGGTGCCAAGCAACCATTTCAACACAACGTTTGAAGTAAACCATTTCCAGGAGCTTCTGTTCATTCTTGATCAGATAATTAAAACACCCTGCTTCCTCTGGAGTGTAATTTTGTATGGGTATGTAATAGGGGGGCATGCATTATATGCTGACATTGAGTCCAAGCAAAAAAACATAAAAAACAAAAGGAAATTAAAACTTGATAGTGATCAGTCGTGCTTTTTCTTCATTTGTTCATCGTTTTATGTCCTTTTGATGTTATGGTCTTTCCCATTTGGGACCTTTCATACATCCATCTCCGAGCCTTTCCTTCCTCTTTTGTTTCCCTGCAACCAGAAAACCCCAGAAAGTAAACAATTATTTATTATAAGTGACAACATATTATGATGACTCAGTTCATGTTATATGTCATTAAATTCCTTGTAAGTAAAAGAACAATTAAAAGTCTCTGAACTGAAAATAAGCTTACTTGCAGACCTCACTGGATGTACTTCAACTATATAACTCTGTATTACTGCGCCTGGGCTTACTTTCACTGCAACTTCTCTCACTTCACCTGACTGACTGCCTGCTTTTTGTCTCTTCTGTTCTACAGAAAGGGAAAGAAGGGGCAGTCATGCAAACATACATTAGCATCAGCTTACAAGTGTCCTCGCTCTAAAACGTTACTACACACTTACCAGACAAATAGAATGAACTACAAACTCAAGGCTTATATGCCCCTTGGAGAATGTATAGCTTTATTATCTTGTGATTTCTATGAATCTCTTCACTGTTTTAATTTGTAGTTGTGTTCTTGTAAATGTTTAACGTTCTCAGAGGTCTTAATCTCAATGAGGCTGCCTGAATAAATGAGGACAAAGGGAAATAAAAGAGTGATTATTTAAACTCTTACCTGATGTTTTGGTTGATCTGACTGCAGACCTTTGACTTTAGACCTTTCTTGTTCAAGGGCAGCGTGTAGTGATGATACCTAAATAGAAAACATGTATCATTCAAATGCACATAAATCTGTGTTCTTCTCTCATAATCTTTATATGCCTGTAACCTACCTGTGATGACAGTTCTTCTTTTATGTGTAGTAGCTCTTCTACCTGTAGAAGGAGTTCTGCTTTATCTTTCACTGAAGGAGAGAGAAATCAGAACACATTAGAACGATGTTTTTGAATCTTTGTAAGGAAGGAAAAGCACAGAAGGATATTGGGCGTCATTTTGGTTCAACTTACTTTCTCCCTGTTGGAGCATCTTAAGCAGCTGGGAATTTCTTGCTTTCACCTCTTTATATTTCCCCTGTAGAGTTGAGAAGCAAGTTGAGAATACAAGTTTGAAAATAATCTAAAGTTAATCATCATTGCGTGATAATTCCTTACATTTTTATTATAGCGCTTTTCCAGATGCTCAAAGCGCTTTACAAATACACATATCATACATGCAATGGTCACCACTGTGGACAATACCCACAGGAGCAAGTTCAGGTGAAGTGTCTTGCCCAAGGACAAGACAGAGGATAGATAGATTGATAGATCAATGTTAAATGACAAAATAATGATAACTTCTTTTGGAACTATGAAAACGGACTGACCTCCCACTGTGTAATGTTCTTCTTTAGCTTCTCGATGTCCTCGTCTTTCTTCTCCAGATCGTACTTCAGCTGTTCTGCTCGGGGATCCTTACAGACAGGTAGAAGAGAGCAAGTCAGGAGGACACATTTCTAAAAGGTCTAAGAAGAAGTCACAGCACACTAATCAAATTCATCTTTAACTAAATCTAGTCCCAAAATAAGTCACTGCATTTTCTTAGAAAGTTTCCTGCTTACTAGATACAGGACTACGGATCAGAACAGGGGTGTCAAACACATGGTGAAAGTGTCGTTAAAATCAGCCCAGGATATTATACAAAGAAAACCCCCAGCAACTCTGAGGTGAAAATAAAAGTCACATTTGTGTTAAACTCATCTTATATTGCTGATCTATTGTCTTTCTGGCCAGATATAGGAGATACATGCAAATACAAATGAGATACAACTTTACGTGCCACAAATGTTCCTGTGCTGTAGATACCTGAGGCAGAATATAAACAAAATGCTGAGCCTATAGCCATGTGTTTCTGCCTGTCTACTCACTGGTTCATGATCTGTGGAGGTGATGACTTCTTGTCCCTGGCTGGTGAACAGCTCGCGTCTCTTCTCCTGTTGGACAATTCGAGTGACGTCGTCCTCCACCTTGTTGAAGAAGCGCTCCTCCTGCCCGTTCCCTAACACTACGTTAGCCACACTGGCATCCTGAAAGGGAGCAAGGTTTGAGTTTCCAAAGGCATGTGATATACATCATGTTTGATATTCTACCCCAAATAAAACCCTGTGCATATTATTTACTGGTTACTTAAATATTGATTATACATTTATATACAATACATTCTGCCCAATTAAACATACGCAAACATTTAAAATGTGGGCTATGAAAGGGAAAAGATGCTCAGGGACTCACCTCTTTCTCTTGCTTCTTATTCAAATGTTCTGCAAAAAGACAAAGGTCATTAACATTAATATTATAACGGGAGCTACACACGATCACAGTTTAAAGACTATTGAAACGGATTCATCTCTTTCTCTCACCTGCACTGCCGTCAGCCTGGAAGTCCTGCAGTGAAACCGTCTTTTTGTCTTTCGCCTGCTGATTCTTCTTTTTGTCCTTCTTCCCTCCGCCATCTTTACCTACTCGTGCCTTTGGCGAGGATGCGTTTGTGTTGTTGCTCTGTGTGAAAACAGATCATTCAACTTTAACTTAGAACTAAGGCTCTTAACCTCTGGTAACTATTTAAAACAATCTACCTTTAACATGACTTTGAAATAAAACTGAATTCAACCTCTGTTTCATGCTATATGAAATGGAGTGACATACTCCAGCACACTGGATTTTAGGAATATGTAAACAATTATAAATAACTGTTTTTTTGTTATTAAAAGTAAGTCAAGAGTCCAAATCAGCAGTTATGTTTGACAACAGTCCGCTCACTGTACCTTTTGAAAAAGATATATAATGGCGCTTTTCCACTGTAGCACGGTTTAATCCAGGCCCGCTTTTTTTTGCTTTTCCACTAGGGGTAGTTCCGGCTCAGGGCTACCTTTTCACCTTTTTTCTGGTCCTCCAAAATCGAGGTTCTTAGCGGGCCAACAACCGGGCTGAATATGCTAAACTAGTGACGTAAACACTCGACTGCTGAATGGTCAGAGAGAATCGCTGGCAAGGGGGCTACAACTACAACAAAATGAACATATTTTACCGTGATTTAATTGTAATACACGTTTTAAAATTATGCCGAAGTAACAACATACTGATACCGGTCTGCAGACAAGACGGCAGGCAAAAAACCTTTTAAAATGCGTGTTTTCTGAATGGAGATCGGATTGATCAGGCTAAGCTAACGTTGTATATGCTCCGACCGTCCACTCACAACAACGGCCTACAGACACAAATAAACCAGCGACTGTATTCGCCATGACACAGATAGTCTGTGGTTTGTACTTGTTTAACTTTTGTCTAGTTTCCGAACAGATATGAGGAGCTGTGAGCTCTGAGTGCTAACAGCTAACGGCTGAGGTTTTGTGGTTCGCATTGAAGTCACGCTCCGCGCGCCGAACAGCCGATCGCCCCGCCTACACTGCGTTACTATAGTTAGTACCCCAGTTGGTAAACTGTAATGGAAACGCAGCATAAAGTGAGCCTGGCCTACCAAGGCCTAACCATACCGTACTAAGCCGTGCTAGGTCCTGCAGTGGAAAAGCGCCATTAGTGTGTGGAAAATGTACCGGTTTTTGTTGTTCGAAGTCCAGTTTGCTTAGAATCAAGGCCTTTTCCAAGTCAGCCTCATAGAGCTCACTGGTTATCTACAGCGGAAGAAGAAAAATACGAGACATTTTGATACAACAAGTTGTTACTGTCTGTAAGGTCCGACATGAACAGTTTAAAATGCATTTATAGAAGGAAAATAAAATATTCAAAAAGTCATGCATGTGCTCTTTTCTAATGCAGCCATAACTTCCCACAACAAGTTTTCAGAAAGAGGGCAAGGAAAGATGTAATGCGGTCGGCTTCAAGCTCATATTATTGCACACAGCGATAAAAAACAACTCTATACGTTATGTGGCTTAGACCCCATTTACACAGGAACGTTTGCATTTACGCACCGTATGCGTTTTCAAAAAAGTATTTTGTTCACACGCATTCGGCTCAATTAACGTGTCCGTTCACACGAGACCGCTGGAAACGCTGTAGTACATATGCCGGGCCTGTAAGTGGCGCTGCTTCCGCCACAAAATACACCAAAAGCAGCGAAGAAGACCCCGGAGCATGGTTGCCCTTCTGTTTATTCTCCACGGTGGACGGCGTGTGCTCCTGCTGTAAATCTCTCCGGTAGTCCACCAGCAGATGAAAAACACCCACCTCTCCGCCTCTTCCAAGGGACGAGGGAACCATGCGGCAGAGTTTCCGTTAACATTTTTTTTCGCCGGTCAACATGTCCGTTAAAGTTTAAATCTTCCGGACAAAATTAGAAAAGTGCCGGTCAGAGGTCTTCTTTGTTAATTATTGAGCTTTAAGACAAATTGATAACGACTCTATATAATAATATAATAATAATAAACGTCCTCCCCCTTTTCTGACAGCCCAGCAGCTGATCTCTGAGCAGGAGACGTGGGGAGAGGGAGGAGAGGCTATTTCATCGTTATCAGAAAATGATCGTAGAGGCGTACAGACAGATCTGTTTGGCCCCCCAGAGCGTTCCGTTTGCAGATCTATCCACCTTGGGACCCGTTATCGTTTGCGGGGTCCGTTTCTATCGTTTTGTTACGGCCTCGTGTAAACTAAAGGGCTATACGCAAGAGAAACTATGCGGATACAACCCGTATCGTCCTCGTATAAACGGGGTCTTAGTGATACACGTGTAAATGATTGAGAACACTTTATTTTGGATATTACAGATCACATATTTATTGTAGTTGTGCTCACTTACCTGTTCATCCTTCTGCTTCCACTGCTGCCACCCCTCTGGAAGGGCCACTTTGTCCCCTGATGCAGGACTGAGGAGCTCACCGGCTATCCCTGACAGAGTCATCGAGGGAGGAGGGGCAGAAGACTTCTGAGGAAGCTTCTTGAAGGCCAGATTACGTAGCTGATAGAAAGGGAGATATGAGATTACTTCAAACAGTGACTCTTCTTATGTCCACCATTGATACTAATATTGCCTTGCTCTATTGTTTTTAATTATTTGCACACAAAAGATGGTGCAGGGGAGGGAAGATCCCTTTTGGATATCAATAGTCATACTTAAAAGTAATAACACTAAACAATAAAGATTAATGGTTGGTCTGATCATCAACCAAGATCCATTCAGACATCTCTGTCCATCAGGCTAACTGTAAACTTGAACCTCGAGTTGATTTAGTTTCTCTTTTTATTATCACAGATACAATATTATGGAATATCAGGTGTTACTTCAGCTATGTTGCTAAAGGCTTGGTTATGTGTCTTATCAAGTAATAGCATGCTGGTTAAACATTTATATTAAATCAATGTCAACACTTGCTTTAAACAACTGAAAACAAAACAAAGACAACATGGTCTGTTGTCTGCTGGGATGTAACCTGCACCTCTCTCAACAGTTTCAATTCAGGTGAAGTGAAACAAAGGCGGAATACACTCGAGTCATGTCTGTCACAAAGTCCTGATAATGTGTGAAGGAGGGGAATGTGATGCTGCCCTCACTCACCTCATTTGCCTCAGACTGCTGCTGTTCCTTCTTCTTCTTTTTCTTGTCTTTCTTCTTGTCGTTGCACTGAGCCCCTTTCCCCCCGGCTCCTGCTTTTCCTTGTCGGGGCTTTCCGGAGGAGTCCCGTCCGGATTTGTTAGTGGTCTTTCCCCCGTCGGAGGCGTCGGAGTCCGAATCCGAGTCTATCTGGAGCAGGGCGAACCGGGAGGCGGTGGTGGGGACGGTGATCATTGCCATGTCGTAAAACTAAACTAACCGACGGAAAAAGGAGACGACGAACAATACAGTTAGAACAACTTGAATTCAGTCATAAAACAAGAACCTAGCTTCTAGTTGCAGCATATTTTCAAATAGATACAATACAATATCTTCCTAATGATTTATTGGAATCCACACATTTTACAATGAGTGAGTTTAATCATACCAGGAGGTCGTGATGATGATTTACATCTGATATGAGCTGCATCGTATGTAGCAATGTAGCTGCTAGCATTACATAGCAGCAAGTTAACCTAGCTGATAGCACACCGCTTAGCCGGGTTCGTTAGCTTCTAAACAAGTGCAAAAGTAGCGACGTATGACAGTCAAAAAGACATTAATGAACTTACGTTGGTCCTTTGTTTTTAATACACGCTGTGAATCGTTTTGAAGAGATCGTAAGGTCAAGTAAAAGTTGCTAAAGACTACTTTCACCTGTTCATGAAAGGGCTATCTGTTACTGTGGTTTGCTACAAGCGACTGCCTGACTACAGCAGCCCTGTGGGGTCAAAAAGGATAACAACGATTGTAGCTCGCCCTTTCGCTTTAAAGTGTCATTAATACAAAGGAAAGCTGTTGCTGAGGTTTAATGCATATCAGACCGGTTCTATTCATGTGTATATTCGACAGTATATGCATAACATTTTCTGACAGATTCACATTGACTACCCTTGTCCCTTTTACTTAAGCATGTCCATTTTATGCAACATTGTAGTGCTGCACCATTACATTTATTTGTCAAATATGGTTTTCAGAATAATTGTTACCTTATACATGTTCTTATATTATTATAGGTTAAATTACTCAGCAGTATATTAAGAATTTTAATTAATTTAATTAGCTCAATTTATACAACATTAAAGTGATAAACACAACCCACTAATAGGATTTATAGGGGTTGAGGATGAGATTGAATGAGCCCTCACATTAAAGGGAAGACAGTAAGATATGCATATCAAAAAGTTTAATACATTTGACTGTAATGAGTCATTCATATAAAAAATGATTTACACAGCACTCAACATATAATGCTACTAAAAGAACATATTGCACATAGACATTCAACATTTGTATTTAAAATTGCATAAATAAAACTACAAAGCCTTATATTACTTTTGTAATTCAGAAAAACACAACTTCTGGCCATTTTAAGTGCTTAAAATAAGGGGAAAGACAAAGCAATTCTCTTCACAAGGCACAATTTGATTACAATGAACTACAGGTTAATAAACACTTTAAATCCTTTAAATTAATGGTATTTGTAAAAAGAGGATAATTGTTTTAGTGGATTGCAGTTGGTGAAATATTTTAACTAATTAGAAAAGTGCTATTTTTTGCATTAAATATTCCATTCTTACACAATGTACATAATATTTAAAAAAAAATCTGAATTGAATCTGCAGTGTTGTTTTTGGGTGTGGCATGAGCTAAGACAATAATCTGTAATTGCCAAATGAAAAACTTTCACTCTATTTCCAAGTAAAAAATCACAGCCAAGTTATTGGAAATGTCTTTCTATGCGTGCCTTTTATCAGGGTCACTCTGTTGTCATGACAACACTGGTCTTCTTTTGTTGAAAGGCGAAATCATTCAGCAGAGCCGGGATCTGGTAAATATGTGACCACCAGAGAGGACCAATAAAAAAGGAGGACAGTGCTACGAGGAGAGACTGAACTGGTTAAAACTGAAAACATTTTAATATTAACCACATTTCAGTCGCTTTCTTCTCCTTTGGTCACAAACTCTGCAGATCTGATTTTCTGTGGTTTCACTATTTTGTGATATACAACAGTATGGGTCTGTTTATGAAAAAAGCTAATAATAAAACTTGTTCAACTTTACCCACATGCTTTTCATATTGAGTAAAATGTGAATATGGATATGCATTGCATATATACCAGTATCCTGGTTGTATAAAGTAATTTAAAGGGTGCTACTGACTGATCCAAAGCCCAACAAAGACCTACAATAAGTATTTATACAAAAGAACAATGCATGAACATTTCCACAAGATACTCAAGATGAGGGGATGAATTTTCTTAGTTTCAATAGCACCCAACTGGTATCAGATGTACACACTGCTCTAGATTGACTCGTCGGTACCGTGATAAATCATCTGTCTGTGTTTCTGGGCACTTCTATGGAGTCCTCTAGCATTGACTCTGTGCTGGTTTCCACAGCAGACTGTCGCCTCCTTGTGGCAGAACTACAGACCTGCAGATCAGCTGGAGAGATCAGTCTCAGCTCTCTGCGACACACACGGACAGGTGTCATCTGTGAACTCTCCCCCCTGTCACTCCCCCCCTGTGTGTGACTATGGTTGTAATCAGACATTTTTGTTGTTCTGCGTGCTTGGAGGTCAGAAGATGAGGAGTTGCTGGGGGTTAGATCTGCATGTCTCCTCATTTGAGAAACGATGTGTGCCTTTTTGTCTGTTTGCTCAGCCTGTATCTTTGTGTATGTTGTTGCAATATGTGTTCCTGTCTGTAACTCTTCAGTGTGCGTCTGGGGTTTGTTTGCACTCACATTGTGTCTGTTCTCCTGTGTGTGTGAATGCTGATCGACAGGGTGTAGGGCATCACTGACAATATCTTTGAGCTTCCTTTTAAGCTGCCTGCTGGAGCTTTTGTAGAAAAACAGCTCTTTCTCTAGATGCTGCAGTCTTTCTTCCAAAGCTTGCTGTGCCTCTCCTGAACCACCCTCTAAACACACAAGAATATAGGGACACAAAAGTTAATGAAACAGCAATGTTCAATCAATTTCTGTGCTAATAGAGAAGACCAGAATAGTTTCACATTCAAACGGTATGGTCTTGGTGATCTAATTTCCTCACCTCTGAGTTTCTGCAGCAGTAGCTGGATGTTGCTCTGGTGGTCTTGGTGCTGCTGGGTGAGCCTGCGGTCTGCATCGAGGGCTACACGCTGCGTGGCGACCTCCATCTCCCTCAGCACCACCTCTCGCTCTCTGGCATGAAGCTCCAGCTCTTCACACTGCAAACGCAAATGGCCCTCCGCCTCACGAAGACAGACAACCTGGGGAGGTTTATAAAGGCGAGAGGGAACCAGAAAAGGTAGATGTTTTTACATATAATTACAGGGATAATGGCGGTACCTTTGTTTACTCTCACACCTGCAGAGGGTTAGGGTTAACTGCAAGGACAGAAAAACAGTTAGGAAGCGGTTTGTCATGGTGCAAACAAACCTCCTGGAGAGAAGTTATATCAAGTTATATTAAGATGTAGCTGCAAAGATGAAGGAGGGGATTCCATTTATAATTTAACTACCGTTATAGGAATTGTTGGGCTCAGTTTTTGACCCACAAAAACGTGTCAACTGGAGAGAAAAGCAAGCAAAGGTAAATAGCAGAGGAAGAAAGAAGCAGAAAACAGAAAACAGAAAGAGATGGAGTCAGTTTCCATTGACAATGGCAGAATCCATTTTTTCTAAATTAATAAACATGCTTTAAGGAAACCAACATTAAAATGTGCTTATAAATATTTAACAATACATAAGGAAAGGAAGACCAAGTTAAGACAAATAGAGAACTTTCACTTGTAAAGAAGCTGGAATAGAGGCCATCGTAGTTTCCATAATGAGTGTGCATATATTTAATTTCACCTTGTTGAAATATCTGATGAGCAGCTCCGAGGCCTCGGGTGGTGAGAGGTCCCTCAGCTTCCTGATGACATCACAGAGTTGGGCGGGGTCAGGGCTGTGAGGCTGATGTGAAGAAGAGTCTTTAATCAGCAACTTCTTCTGTTGGTCCTGGATGGAGTGGTTTTTAAACTCTAGAGCTGCATCCAGAGCTTCAATAGCTTCCTCCAGCTGAAGCAGGGAATGCTCCTCCTACATGGAGACAAACACAAATCACAGTGCAGTGAGTGCACACAATATAAAAGTTGCACAATAATGAAAATAAAATGCTTCCAGAAACAATGTCCCGTGCTATATATACCAAGTTAATACTTTTGTCATATATTTTTTTATTTGAATTAAGATTCAGTTTGTGGAGACCTTTGTAGGAATAGCCTGTTTAAATATTTTGAATTTTGAATAAACTTGAGTCCTCTTTCACTACCACATTCTAAAGAAAACTTTATCGCAACACTAGTTAATATATTTTATACCAGAGCTGAATAGCTTGGTTGAATGGCAATTCATTTACTACACTATTTAAACACTGGCCATGTTGTTTTATTCTAAAATACTACGATCATTTTAGTAAGAATACATTTGTAACCAGGTTTAGTTTACACTAATAACCCTGATACGTACAGTACACACAAATACAATGTTACTGTTTCCTGACCTCCACAGTGAGCACTCTGTTGTCCTTCAGCTCGCGGTCCAGAGCGTCTCTCCTCTTTTTGAGTGTGTCCCTCTCTCTCTTCAGCTCCTCCATGGTGACTCCTCCAGTCTGCCTCACACTGCTGCTGCTCCCCAGCTGCTCCTCCAGAGACTCCAACCTCACCGACACACTCAGCAGGTTCTGACTCAGAGCCTGCTGAGTCATTGATATATAAACTTCCAGGGCTGGGCTTCCATAACACATGTTGCCCAAATCCATAAGTGCATCAGACATAGACGGTTAAATCATAATAAATCATAAATCACACAGCGGTACCAACGCCTATGCAGGCTCACCTGATTGGAGCGCAGCCTCTTGATCTCTAGTTTGTTTTTCTGTTGCAGACAGGCCTCTCTGCGTAGAAGCACCTCCTCTCTCCTCCTCAGCTCCTCCTCCAGCTCCTGCAGCTCCGCTCTCTTATGAAGCACACGCTCCTCCTCCTCCTCTAGCCAACCACTGTCAAGCAGCTACAGAGGGGTGAGGAGAGATTAGGGGAAAAGGGATAGAGGAGATGATATAAACATGGGGAAAATAGGAAGGCAACAACAATGACAAAGAGTGAGGAATAGAAAACAAGAAAGATTGTATTTGAAAGAAAATCTGTTTAAACTCCAATATTTTATGGAGAAAACCAAAACAAACTTTTTAAGAATGTATACTGTTTCTATGTTTTCCTTTACCTCTTCCTGGTGATTGCTTTTGATTACAGTCATATCTCCTGCCCTCTGCTCCTAACAGAAAAGAAAACACAAAAATAAATATTTTTTCCCAAAAGTCTCGTCAATGATTGTTAAATGTGACTTAAAAAGTGCTATATAAATGAAATGTATTATTATTATATTATTATTATTATTGTAGTGTTAGCTGTCACCTTTTTGCACTCCCAATGACACTTAACTAACTCAACTGGGATGTGTGTGTTGTGTGTAAGTGTGTGTATAGTATACCCTGGTAAATCAAAAGCTAAACATCAATGTAAACTGAAGCACCTCGAGCCATCAACAAAAGTTATTTTGTAACAATGCCAACACTATTGCTTCGCCTAAGAGCTTACTAGCTTAACTGGCTGTCAGATATCAGAGCGGTTAGAATATAAATCAAATGATCTTGCTGTGTTAACCCATTTAGAGACAATTGTTTACACAACACTGAAGTGTAGTCTAATATGTTCATCTATTTTCCTATTG